TCCATTTCTTACTACTTTTTCCCATCTCTCCGGCAACAGGCAATTCCACGACGGTAGAACGCGGTGTCTTTCGAGGCGATCCATTCATCCACCCATTTTTTGACTTCGTTGTAACTGGAGAAGTGTGTGTCCGTAAATGCGTGTTGCGTCGATCGGAAGAGATGGTAATCCGACGGTGCCAAGTCTGGAGAGTACGCTGGGTGTGGCAGAACTTCCCATTCAGGTTCTAGAAGTGCCTGCTTCACGCTTTTCGCGACATGCGATTGAGTGTTATCATGCAACAAAATGACTTTGCGTCGATTGTTGGTTACGGATGATCTTTTTTGCATCAATTCGTCACTCAATCGGCCTTTGGAGTAACATTTAATTGTTTCGACAACTTTAAAAGCGTTTGAGCTGGATTCTCATCAAGCAATTCTTGCAGCTCGACATCTTCAAATTTTTTCGGCTGTCCTGGACGTTCTTTGTCTCTCACATCAAAATCACCGTTTCGGAAGCGTTCAAACCAACTCTACATGTTCTTTCCGATGAAGTTTCATCACCATACACTTCGGATAATAAGCGATGCGCTTCAGCTGCGGTTTTCTTGAGGTCGAAGTAGTGAAGAAGCACATGTCGGAAAAACAGCTTATTGCGATTTATTTTCAATCGATTAGAAAATCTTTTTGGCGTCGAGAAATCTAATCTGTGAAGATTGAATCACTTTCAGCGATGTCTAAACTACAAAAGACATGACTTCATCGTCGAAACTCTCCAGCGTTGGAGCCAGCACCCTCTAGTAGCGAGCGATAGGAATTAAATTTAATAGCTACAGCAGCAAATTCTTTGTAAGGTAATTGTCCCTATTAATGTGCCTTTTAGCCAACTTGTTTTACTGAATTAATTATTAAATATTGTAGCTTTAATTTTATCTGCTTGCAATCCAATATCAGTTTTTCAACTATTTCTTTTTCTTATAATATTTCTTTAATCTAAAAAATGTTAATACTTTATAATGTTTTTGACAAAAATAAAAATGTTTTTGTCCCTAGTAGTGAGTCCTCTAAGCAGCGATGGCCCTATTAATGTACCCCCAAATTGTGTGCTTATCCACATTTGACTCATTTAACATATAATTACTAAAACAGATAATAAATTTAAACTAATTGTTTAGGTTAATATTACATAAATCATTATTTCAATTATATATTTATTTCAATGTACACTCATAACACAACGTTCTCAGCTCCAATACAGAGCACATTAATAGGAACAAGCTTAAAATCTTGCAGCACATATTACTGGATCCACATAAATTCCTCATATCTTTTGAAAAATATTTTAATTATTTTAATACTCAAAAAATAAAATATTATCTTCGGTATCGTATGCATTAATAATTTAACTTAACAATAAAAAATATTTTTTCTTATTTATTTGTGCTAGTTTTCTTTATGACTTATCGAAATACAAAAGCATAATAGAGACAGGCACAATAATTGGGATAGTTACCCTATGTATTAACAAATTTTATAGCTGTAGTAGCTAATGCAATTTCAGCTAATTAGAATTAGCTATAGAAAGCAACATTTTTTGTTCCGTGTAGACATTACTTAAGTTGATTGAGTAACGGTCGCCCAGCTACAGGAAAAATTGATTAGTATCCGAACAATCGCGCAAAGGGGAACACCTACAGATGAAACTAAACATTATTTCGACGAATATATTTTGCAGAATAACAAGGTATATCAGCATCTAAACGATGGCAAAAGCGTGGATGGTGCCACGTGCCGCGCGAATGCAAATTTGTAGATATTGCCACGATGATGCCGGGTATTTGGGCGTTGAAAATACGTTCAAACTTATTTGACGAGACTATATTGGTTCGCCGACATGAAACGCTTCATAACTAAATACGTCAAGGCGTGCCTGAACTGTGCCTATTACAAATATGCAGCAGGCGATAAATAAGACCATCGTGCAAACATTAGCACACTGAGAAAAATTTTCGGGCTTTATCCGTTTAAAAAGTAACAAACAGATATTTCCGATTGATTTTGATCGGATTTATAAGACTATCCCATCAAATTTTAGGACTATCCGATCAAATTTATCAGATAGTCCTATAAATCCGACAAATTTGATCGGATAGTGCTAAAATTTGATCGAATAGTCTTATAAATCTGATCAAAATCAATCGGAAATATCTGTTTGTTACTTTTTGAACGGACATTTTTCTCAGTGCAGCTACGACGGCCGGGCAAGATCCTCGCAAGTGAAATCTGGCTGTAAGATCAGTATAAGGTGCACTGAATACGATGTTCGATAAGAGTATCGATATCATCCTGATGAAGGTATTAATTGGTGTTAAGTACTGTTAAGTCACGGAGTATGGCAGATGCTCTGTTCTTGGCGGAGGTGCGAGAGGTAATACAGCAGTTGGACTTAACTGAATTGTATAATAAAATGAAGGAGCACAAAGAGCGAAAACAACAACAGCAAGAGGAGCGCTATGATCGTCGAGCTGCTATGGTGTATTAGGTATACAACTTTGCTTCTGTCGTTTTTTTTCCGAAATTCGAGGCTTTATTGTAAAAAACTGGTTATACGTTTACGATTCAAAGTATTGTCCATCGCTAGCCACTACTTTCTCCCATCTTTCGGGCAGTGTAAGAATCCAGTGTCGAAAAAATTGGTCATCTTTTGAGGCGATCCACGAACCGATCCAATTTTTTACTTCTTCATAAGACCGGAAGTACTGGTCAGCCAGACCGTGTGCCATTGATCGAAACAAGTGATAGTCAGAGGGATCGACGTCTGGAGAATACGGCGGGTGGGGTAGGACTTCCCATTTCAATGTTTCCAAGTATGTCTTGACCACTTTCGCAACATGGGGTCGAGCATTGTTATGCTGCAAAATCACTTTATCGTGTCTCTCATTGTATTGCGGCCGTTTTTCTTTCAATGCTCGGCTTAAACGCATCAATTGCGTTCGATACCGATCGCCTGTGATTGTTTCAGTCGGTTTTAACAGCTCATAATACACTACGCCGAGCTGGTCCCACCAAATACAGAGCATGACCTCGGAGCCGTGAATATTCGGTTTGGCCGTCGACGTGGAAGCATGGCCGGGAACTCCCCATGATTTTCTGCGCTTGGGGTTATCGTAATGAACCCATTTTTCGTCCCCAGTCACAATGCGATGTAGAAATCCCTTCCGTCTTTGCCTTTCGAGCAGCTGTTCACAAGCAAACAAACGCCGTTCAATATCTCTCGGCTTCAACTCGTGCGGCACCCAATTTCCTTGCTTCTGAATCATTCTCATGGCTTTGAGGCGTTTTGAAATGGCTTGTTGAGTCACTCCCAATGATCGTGCCAATTCTTCTTGATCTTGACACGAGTCATGATCAAACAATGGCTCCAATTCTGCATCTTCGAAAACCTTCGCTTTTCCACCGCTATGCCGGTCTTCGACGTCAAAATCACCGTTCTTGAAGCGTTGAAACCACTCACGATACGTTCTTTCACTAATAGCGCCCTCACCATAAGTATTTGAGAGCATTCGATGAGTCTCAGCCGCAGATTTCTTCATATTAAAGCAGAAAATTAAAACCTCCCTCAAATGACGAAAATTTGGCTCGTAAACTGACATTTTCAATCGACAATAACTGTATCTAAATCTTCACTCCACAGTTTCTTCCATATTTTCTCCTTATTCTCACATAATTCTTTAAACCAACTACTTGTCCTTTGACATTCTTCAACATAGTGTTCCATACGATCCGCCTCTCTTCCACAAAATACACATCCTTTCATTTCTTTTTCTATCCAATACTTGTTCCCTTCCTCCATGTTACCGCATCTAAGTCTAACTAGTCCTCGCACGCCTTCACCTATTCCCAGCCTACCTAGATTTTCCTTCCTTAAATAATTGGGCCCTCTACTCCCTGTATCCAATTCCTTCTACCTTTCATTATACCTCGCAGACCTTAATCTACATTCTTCCCATTGCCTTTGTCCGTCCCTCTCCCTCCTAATTATTTCCTTCTCTCGAACCTCCCCTCGTTTCCCCCCTCTTTCAATTCTTTAGCATTTATACCCCATCCGTTCCTATTATAAAACCTTTCTCTTTCTATGCCATATAAATCTTTTCATTTACCTTCCTCCTTTTCCTTCCAGCAGCTTCGGAGCAGGCCGTCTTTCTTCCTTGCTCCTATTCTTTTCTCATATCTCATTGCTCTTATTCCCCATCCTATCCTTAACTTGTCCATCGCTAATTTCCTCATTATCATGTATCTTGGAGTGCAAAACTCCATGTTGAATATCCACCTCGTGTAATCTAACATTATTCTCTCTAAGCTTCCTCTCTCCTACCACCCCCATATCTCAACACCATAACCCATGACACTTTGTGCCAAGTATCTAAATATTATCCATCTCCTTATAAAATCATTTCTACACATCCTTTCTCCCATACTTTTCTTGCTACCGCCCTCTCTTTCTTACTCAGTTCTGCTATATGATCTTCATAATCCCCTTTTCTATTGAATGTAAAACCTAAATATTTGAAGCATTGTGCCTCTTCAATTTCTCTGCCTTCCCATTTTCATACTTCCTTTTTTTCCTTTCCCTGTTTGTTGAGAACTACTATCTTAGTCTTTTCTGTGCATAATTCTATTTTCCTACTTTTTACGAAATTCCTAAAAATATTCATCATATCTAAAAGCGCCACCCTATTTTTCACCAATAGTACTATAACATCTGCGTATGCTAAATTCCATATCCTTACCCTGCCTATTGCAACTCCTCCTATATTCCTATTTTTTAGTTCTTTGTCCAGATCCGCTATATATACATTAAACAAGAGTAGACTCATAACACAGCCCTGCCTGACTCCTCTTCCTAAACTTCTCTGTTAGACCTCTGCTTGTCCTTATCATCACCTCTGTGTCTTCATATATCAGTTCTAATCTCCTTACCAGCTGACTCCATATCTCCTTAATAACTCCCATAGTATCCTTCTATCTACCTTGTCGAATGCTGCTCTCAGGTCTGCGAAGAGGGCGTATATTTTCTTCTCCTTCTTTTCTGTTAACTTGCTCCTTTGAATCAGATGATTCAGTATAAATATACGTATTATCCATCGTCGATCTGCCTTTTCTGAATCCTGTTTGCGTTTCCGGTATTACGTTGTTCCTCTTTACCTCTTTTTCTAATTTTGTTCTCAGGATCTCCGCGTACCATTTATACGCTGTGCACAGCAAAGATATCCCTCTATAGTTTCTTACCTTTTCCGTGTCTCCTCTCTTGTATAGCGGTACTATTATGCTTTTCTTCCAGTCCTCTGGTATTTCCCCTTGTTTCCAAATTTGTCTCATTAGATCCACCATGTCATTCCACAATGTACCTCCCGCATATTTCCATGTTTCCGCCGGTATTTCATCTATGCCTTTTGCCTTCTTGTTTTTCATTTTCTTTAGTGCTTCTTTCATTTCCTCTTCCTTCAACTCCTCTATCTCTTGCTCTTCTCCTCTGTTCTCTCCCACCGATTCCGCTCTTCCTTCCTCTTCCTGTGTCCTTTCCTCCGTACCACCTAATAGGCTCATGAAGTGTTTTCTCCATTCTTCTTTTTCTATATTTTCTCTCCAAATCTTCTTACCTGTTTTTTTGTTTATAACTTTCCAGATATCTGCCTCCCTTTTTAGACTCAATTCCGCTTCCTCTTCTTCTCTTCTTTCTTTTTGCCTTTTTTCCTTCAGTTCCTTGAATTTTCTTTTTTCTTCCATGTATACTCCTCTGCCTACTTTTCCTGATCTCCATTTCTTATAGACTCTCTGCATTTCCCTCTTCTTTCTTGTACAGCTTCTATTCCACCAGTCTTTGTATCCTAGCTCTCTTCTTCTGATTTTCACCTTCTTCTTTACCAAGGCTCCCTGTATTATTTCTTTAATTCTTTTCTACTTCTCTTCTATTGTTATCCCTTTCTGCCCCGCATCTTCAGCTAACATTTCCGTTTTTTCTTGATATTCTTTTATGGCCTGCTCGTTCCATACTATTATCTCCTTCGATCCCGGGTTTTTTTCTTCTTCTATCTTCTACTTCTCCTCTTCACCTTCCGTACTGAGCAGCAATGTGATCTGAGTCCACCCCATCTCCTATCGCAAATTCTATAATATTTTGTCTTATGCCTTCATTTACTATCACATAGTCAATGACCGTATTACTCCTATAACCTATGTAAGTATATTCCCCTTCCCAATCCCCTTTCGTCGTTTCGTTTAGAATATACCGCCCTTTTTTCTGTGCACAGTTTACCAGCTCTTTTCCTATCACTTGTCTCAGCTCCTCTCTCCTTGTTATTTCTTCTTCTTCCCATTCTATACTATCTAATTCCCCTGTTCTTATATTAAAATCCCCCCCTATTATTATATTCTCCTTTTCCATGCTCCCTACCATTTTCTCCAATTTATTTCTAAAATTTTCCAATTTCCTCTATTATACACCGATATTATTACAGTCCTTTTTCCCCTACTCTTATGGTCGACATTACTACTTCTTCCTCCTTATATATTAGGCTTGAATTTTCTATCCACTCTTTCCTTAAACCAATTATAAATCCCCCTTTAGCCCTACCTCTTTTCTTTTCCCTCCGCGCGTATACACCCATTTATGTGAACTAGGTAACCTCCCCTCGATCTTCTTCCAGTCATCCTCCTCTCTAACCATGTTTCGCATAAACTTACAAACTCAAATTTTCCTATATATTTCCAAAATTCTTTATCCTTGTTTTTTACTCCCACAGTGTTCCAAAATATCACATTTCCTCCCCTTTCGTTCTCCTTCCTATTCCTTTTCCCTCGTATCTCCCCTCTAACTTTTCCCCTTTTACCTTCTCCTACCTTTCCCCCGTTTCCTCCTTGACTCACCCTAAATTTTGATTTTGATTTTGGTTCTCCTTCTCCACCCTTCCTACCTCCACCTTGTCACTTCTCTCTCCCTCCCTACAAACTCTATTATTATTTTCCTTTTTCCTTTTCCCTTCTTCCCCCCTTTCTATCTCATTCCAAGCTTTCCATATCCTTCTTATTTTTACTCTTCCGTATCCTATTTTAATATCTTCCCCTTTGTTTTCTTGAGTTTTTACCCATTTATTTATCAACACCTGTGTCCTCCTCTCCTCAAAACTTAGATCATTCTCAAAGAAAATTTTTCCTCCCCTTAATTTGTTTTTGTTTTTCATCACCTCTCTTTTCATGTCTTCATTACCTACACTAATAATCGCCACCGGACCACTCATCCTCCAGCTGATTACCTCTGTATCCACAACTAATTTCTCCTTTATAAATTTCTTCGCCCTTTCTTTACCCTTTTCTATTTCTTTATTTCCTTTCCAGTCAAACCCCTTGATTACAATATTACACTTCCTTTTCTCACGCTCCTTCTCCCTCATCAGCTTTCTTATTGCCCCTATCTCTTTCCCATTTAACCTACCTATGCTTCCTTCCGACCATCTTCCACTGCATACGCTCCCTGTTCTACTATATACATTCTCCCCCCTATCATATACACTCCTCCCTTCTCCCTCCTCTCCCTCACTTAGTGTGTAACCTTGTCTCATCTTCCTCTCTATCTCATCTAACCTTTTCTTTATCCCTTTACCTCCCACACAGCACACCTGACTGTTTGGCGACTGTAAGTCGACATTTTTTCGTCAGCTTGAAGTCGACTTTTAAAGTCGACATTTAGCAAACTTTTTCTAGAATGGATTTGTCGACTTGTAAAAATTGACTTATAGTCAGCTATTCGCGCTCTCTGAACGCGTTCTCTATGAACACCGGCCTTAATTAATTGAGACCCCGCGTCCCTCGGCCTTTCCTTTTTGATTGCCTCTGACGATCTGCAGAATGATCTAAATAAGGTGCGTTAAAATCAAAGGTAATCCTTTTTTTTCATATATATTTATAGTAAATATGAAATACGATAAGGAAAGATAATTGTATATACATTTTAGTATAATTTTTTGGTGCATCATTTTATATATTTCCAACAATTAGTATATATATCAAGGTTTAAGGTTATGTTGTAAGAATCGCGAAAGTTGACTTAAAATAATTGACTTGAAGTCGACTATATAGGCTGACTGATGGCCGACTATAGTCGAGACATTTGTCGTCTCTTAGTCGACTAAAAGTTGACATTTAGTCTGACTTTAAAGTCGACTTTAGACTCCTTCTGCCGACGGACAGTCAACTCATAGTCGACTTCGTGCTGTGTGGGCTTCTTCCTCTCTCTCCCTAAACTTTCCCTCTCTTGCCTTCTCTATCCATTCCTTTACTCTATTCTCTCTTTCTATCATTTTCTCGTCTATCCCCCTAATCCTTTCTTCCCAGAATCTTTCCTTGACATTTAGACTTTCCATAACACTCCTTCTTTCCTCCCTTTTATTTTCTATAAAAGCCCTTCTTTCTTCTCTCATTAATTTAATTTCTTCCCCTATGCTGTACTCCCCCTCCCCTCTTGCTCCTCTCTTCTCTATCCTATCCTCCATCTCGTCCTCTAATTTAAATATTACCTTTTTCATACTATCCGTGCCCCTCACCTCCATCGTCAACCTCCTCTGCTTGTAGTCAACCGCCTTGCCTCTCCCCGTACCCTCTTTCCCTGACGAGCCACTCGTTTCTCTCGAAGCCATAACCTCTTCTGCCGCCCTTCGCCTTACCTCGTCTCTCACTGCTCCCTCTCTGTTTAGAATCAATCACCTTTATTTGTGCCGCTTCTAAACCCTCCTAGCTTGTTGCTCCGCACCTAAATTTCTTATTCTCGCCTCTAAATCTAATTATAATCGCTCTCTAAATCTCTACTACATTCGCACGCATGCGTCCACACTCGCGACACCTAACCAAGTCCCAAAGAAATAACAGTAAAAACTAAAGTGAAATAAGATCCGTGGTAGTTACCATTGAAATAAGCATCGCGGTTGTCATCGTTGATATAAAGATTTCATGGTGGTTGCCATTGAAATAAGTATTGCGGTCACTGCCGTTGATATAAAGAATGGTAGTTGCTATTGAGTTAAACATCACGGTTATTGCTGTTGATATAGAGTATGATAGCTCGAGTCAGGGCTTTACTTTTGCTTTGGATCTTAGTTTTAAGACATATGTAGACTCTAAAGATGACGTTCAAAAGAAATTTTCTAGAGAGAAGCTGTAGATTAAGTAATATTAAAAGAAGCTCTATTTGATTGTTCAAGTATCAAAACGGGTTTATACTGTAAGATTTAATTGAGGTTGAAAGATGTTCTGGATCCTATTGCGAGAAAAACCTCCTAATTGAACAACGCTGGTGTGCCTAAGGATAGGCACCATGCAGGATGGCTAAATGTAAAAAAATTATCCGAGGTCTAATCGTTTTGAATTTTCTGCCACGCCGGGAGTCGGTCGGCGCGCCTCGATTGCGTGACACGAGGGGGTAACCACTAGCTGAAATATTGTCCCACAGATTACATGACATCATATGATTTCATATGATTACAAATAATTGTTTTCACTACATATGAAGTCATTTGATAAAATATACGAATTTATTTAATATTATACAATGATTTATCGTGGATCCTTATGTAATTATCGGATTATACATAGAGATTTCATATGAATTTTATAATGATTTCGAGGACTCTGTCCCACGATTGCATTAAGTGGTTACCCCCTCGGTGTGACAGCCAATGAAAGACACGTGTTGCAGCCAATCCCGGAGGATCGCTGGCGGCTCTACAGGATGCGAGTGTATACTGTATAGGGAAGATCAGATTGGCGGGAGTTGAGCTATTGATAACTATTTCAAGAGAGTATAAACTCATTAACTGCAAGGAACCGAAATATATTCGTATTTTGTAAACAAAACTGATAAATTTCTTACACATAGTAATGTGTCAATGACACGTAAATCGTCTGTGTATAAGTGCTATTTTCAATATGACTAATTATCTTTAAGATACCCTTAAGAGATGTTCTTAAGACGTAGAACATCCTCCTTTAGAATATCCTTTGAAAATCTATGCTAGGAACTGGGAAGCATAGAAAAAGGGACCACCGCGATTATAATCGCTGGGGGTGATCCCGATTGACCACGTCTCGATTGGACACCACCAATCACAGCGACCGGTGCTTAGGAGCTTTGTAGTCTCAAGTGCTGTGAGTGGCTCGTGTCCAATTGAGTGCCACCCTAATCGCTGCACTGTTAAATTGTATAGGGTCAAATTAATTTAATATGAGTCGCCATTGCTCAATAATATCATTATTTTTTACTAAAACAATGGTTATATTTGACACTATACAGTATCAATTTAACATTATGTAGTGTCAAATTTAATTATTATTTTAGTAAAAAATAACGATATATTTAGTAGGAGCAGTGGCGACTCACATTAGGTTAAATTTTACACTATAGATTTAACAGTGTGGGATGATGGAGAGCCCTCTATAGGTTGATCCGTTTTTGTTTATATCTCATAGCGTTTTCGGCCCGGCCAGGTTTGCACCAACCTGGGTTGGATTAATGGCGTTTTGTGCTCTCCTATTGGTAGAGCGGGAGACGTCAACCAATAGGAAAGATTTATCCAACCCAGGTTGGTGCAAACCCGATCGGGCCGAAAAAGCTATTAAAAAATCTACCTTCTTACTTCAAACAGAGTTTATACTATAGTTAGTTTCTGTGAAAACAGGATAATCTGCATTGAAAAAACATTATTCATATACCGCATAATTAATAAACAATCGTTAAATAAATCGGACGTTACGTTCTAATTAAATAGATAATAAAAAAATGTAATTATAAATCCGTAGAAATGTATGAAAATTGTTAAAAGTACATATTTGGACGGAAAGGTTAGGCGAGAGAGTCGAGTTTCTCCGTTTCTCGGCATCAGAAACTTCGTATAAATCGGCAGAATTATTGGGAGCGCACATTAGACTCTGCGCACAATAGAAGGAATAAGGAATTAGGAATAAAAAATAAACGATTTTAACCCCTCAGAAATCGGATATATCGGAACATATGTATTTTTGATACATTGAAATCGTTTATTTTTTATCCTAATTCCTTATTCCTTTTATTGTGTGCAGGGCCTTAGCAAGGAAGTTACCGGAGATATTCTGAGCAACGGCGTCTCCCCACTTTGCCGCCGCGTAGCATCGCGGTCATTGGTCAATGGGCGGTGTTTCTTGCCGCGAACCTGCTAGTACTCTCATTGGTTTACGCCTGGAAGTTATTCTTGTACGTGAGGTGAGGCATAGTAAGTGGGGTTCCGCTGCTACGGCGACTTGGCGACCTCCTCGCTCGACATGCTTTCCTAGTATCGGTGCAATTTTTGAGCTTCTAATGAAACTCGCTGATCAGTTCACACACGTTGCCACTTACTTCCTTTGTCTAATATACTTTTCTAGGTGGCTTGT